ACCCGATTAATTACAATTATAATCAAATATTTATTATGTAATTAACTAAATTGTCCTATCTAATCATTTGTAATTGGGTAGATTAGAGATAGAATGATCATTTAACCATTATGTCGTGGTTTGGCTGATTTTAAACCCCCGGGTTTGCTGAAACCTATATTCGTGGGTTTAACCTTCTGGGTTAGTTATAGGTTGTGATCTTAATCCGAGATTTAAAAGTTTTAACCAAACATGAGATTGAATGGTTCATTGAACTATTTTGCTTAAACCAACCCTTACATACCCTCCAAAACCTGTCAAACAAACAATTAGAAGAAAAAAAAAATTGCATCAGTAATAAAAAAAAAGGAAAAGGACAAAGAAAAATTATGTGAGTCGAGTGGAAAATTTTCTATTAGGGTGCACTAGATTGTGCGAAGATAGCATTATGTTATGGAGTAATACCACCAACTTGTCTTAATTTTTTTGGTTTAACAGTCAGTGTTATTCATATTAATTTACGGAGATCTTGATTAATCTCTTTTTAAATTCAATCAAAATCAAATTATCCATTTCAAAACTAGAATATTCACTAGAGATATCATTACTATTGCTATTATGTGCAGTGGTGTATAATTGGTAATCGAAGACCATTTGGATCATGATCGAGCTCAAGTCAATTAAGTTTCCCTTCACCAGCCACTCAACTTAAACAATGGTGGCAGGAGGCCGACTAGTCAAATTTGGTAGGGTCTATTGCCATAAAGTTAGTGTTGTTTGTTGAAAATTGTATTTGCCGGTGCAGTTACGTCTAAACTTCAGCCACTCTTGCTATTATGTCGGTCACTTTTTTTTGTCAATTGGGATAAATTACACTTTATCCTTTCAACTATTATCCATTTTTTATTTTGGAGAAATATTATTTGGAATTAAACATCTGACTTAATTTGCTGACATTATAATATGATTTCATAGGAATCATTGAATTAACACCAACTTCCAATGTTTGATGGGGTCTACAATCAATCCAAAAGTCACAATAAATTAGGTTAACAAATTATGTCAGTAAATTATGTCTCAATAGCATTCCTCTTTATTTTATTTTCTCAACTATAAAATTTTTTACATTGTACTTTAAAATATAAATTTTATTTTATATTACTCTAATTGATAACACTCTAAGTTATGTCACTCTAAGTTAATGCTCAAGAAAAATTATTTGCGGCCGGTTTGTTTTGTAACCCGGTACGAGACATATAAAACTTGTTATTTTTGGGTGATTAAGGTTGATCGACTCTGGACAGCCGCTCTGTATTCTTTGTTGATAATAGTGAAATTCTTGCAATTTCGTGGATGTATGTAAATTATCGAATCACGTAAATACTGTCTTGTGTGTGTGATTATTTTTTCTCTGACGTGTGTTTTGTCCATTTTTATTTTTCATGGATTTGGAAATTTCCTGAAGAATTTTCTCACATTGGCCAGGACGACGAAAATGTATATACTATAGGATAGGTCGAAAGGTATCTTCTTCGTTCTTGAATCGTACCAACGAGAGGGAGAGAGAGGGAGCAGAGAAAAGCAACGAATTAAGAAGAGCTCCGAAGCCCTGTCATCAATGGCGGCGAAGAGAGAGAAACTTCTGACCAAGGTTGCGGAGTCTTTTAAGGAACTTGCTAATTGCGTGGAATCTCCGACGCCGCGTCTCGAGGTTGGGCAGCTCGCTTCCGCTTGCCGCGATGTTGCCACTATCATAGGCTGCTTAGGAATGGCTTTCAAGTTCGTCTTCATCGCATATTCGGCCAAGGTGATCATAGTTTTCACTTACTATTACACTTTGTTGTTCTTCATTCATGGATGAGTTTCCTTTTCAATGGATTGATCACTCTGTTATAAGTTTTAGTAAAAATTGGGGTGAAGTCTAAAAAATCTACAACTTAAACTTATTTGGAAATAAGTTATATTTTAATAGTTAATTCTAATTTTTTTTAATTTCCCAAAAATCCTCTTCTTGTAGCATTCAAAATCGTTTTTAACGCTAAATCATTTTTAATGAAAATCTATAATAAATTTTTTTTTCATAAAATCAAAATTTAAATTTAAATTTGACATCACCGCCGCTAATTCTATTATAAATTCTTTCTTGTCAGAGTCAAAAACTCTTATTATGGCTCAAAGAAGACAAATAAGAGTTTTGAGAAGCCATCTGAGCCAAAAACTCTTATTACTATGTCAAGTTTGAGAAGCCCACTTTCCCAAAAAGTGATTGGTTTTTATATATATTAGGTGTAACACTGTCTGAAGGCACGATGCAACGTAAGTGAGAAGTGATAAATTTTAGAGCGAAAGAAAGAAAAAAATTCAATGTGAATAATTTTGAGAGAGATGTTGATAGTCGTTGAGTGAGTATATTTGCGACCGTCGGATGGACTCATTGCAGTCTGTCTTATTTTATAGTGCAATGTTATTAGAACCTAATTTACTGACCTAATTTGCTAACCTAATTCACTATGACCTTTGAATTAATTGTGAGACTCATCAAATATTAGAACTTGGTGTTGAACTAATAGTTCTATTAAAGTTACATCATTATATCAGCAGATTTTGTCAGATTTTTAGGTCAAAATAGTATTACTCTATTTTTATATTATAGATTATAAATTATAGACCGGTAGTCGGGCCCGTGCGATGCACAAGTTTATAATTCGTGTTTTATTTTATTTTTATTACTTGAGAAGTTAAATAAATAATTATATTTAAGTTTTTTTGGTGATAAAAAGTATTTTTTTTAATTTTTTTTTAAAAATAATGATTTGTTATTGAAGAGTTGGTGGGTATTTAACAATGACACGTGTCAACGTCCGCTAAAGGGAGCCTTAAATTTTGAATTAAAAAAATTCTAAATTCTAAGGAAAAAAATTGAGAGGGAATGTTTTTTAAGCCACCTTCCACTTAATTTTATTGTTATATCTATATCTATATTACTAATAAAAGTACATTAATATGAAAAACTTTTGATTCACTATTTACCCTTATAAAGAATTAAAAAAGTCACTCTATCCTTCCACACTTAATATTTAAAATACCATCATATCCTTGTGCATTTAAATATCTAAATTACATGTAAGATCACTTTTAATTATATATTCCCTATGTATAAATGTCAATTTTTATGAAACTTTTTTATTGATTATATTGCTTTTAAAAAAATATATGCATCATTATAAGTTTTAACAAAATATTCAAAAAAATTTTTAAAAATTTCTTCAATATAATATTACTCACCTTATTTGTAAAGATAATGTTATGACTACATAGGTATATTTTATTTTTTTCATCAAAATGTTTAACCCTGTCATTTTAAAGATAAAAAATATCGAATATATAATTTTACATAATTTTTTAGTCACATTAAACTTTTTAGACGACATTAAGATTTTATGTGAAAAGTTGATTTTTTTTTTAAAAAAAAATTAATATGTTTTATAATATATATTATAGTATTATATAATAAATTTTATCCAAATTGATCTAGATAATCCTAAATACATCAAGGTTCTAATATGATTGGTATATTGATAATTATTTTTATTTTATTCACTTATTTATAAGTGGAATCTTAAGCAAATTAAAATTTTAATTATCTATTCTCTATTTATAAATGTCAATTTTTATGAAACTTTTTGATTGATTATATTACTCTTAAAAAATATATGCATTATTATAAGTTTAAATAAATATTCAAAACACCAACTCAATCAATATAATATTACTCATATCATTTATAAAGATAATATTATGACTACATATGTATATTTTATTTTTCATCAAAATATTTAATCATTTTATTTTTAAGATAAAACATAATAAATATTTAGTTTTACATGATTTTTTAGTCACAATACACTTTTTAAACTATGTTAAGATTTTATGTGAAAACTTGAATTTTTTTAAAATTTTAATATATTTAATAATATATATTATAGCGTTGTATATTAAATTTTATTTCAATTGACCTAACTAATCCTAAATATAGAAAGGCTCCAATATGATTGGTGTATTGATAATTATTTTTATTTTATTCAATGATTTATAAGTGGAATCTTAATTAAATTAATTTTTAAAAATTTAATTTTCAAACATCACTAAAAAATCACTTTCAATTACAAAATTATAGAAAAAAATAGAACTTTATTTATTTATTTATTTATTTATTTTTATCATTTTTCTTAAAATTAGAATAACAAATCTTGAAAATATACAAAATTTTCAAAAATTCTATAGTGGAGCATGGGCGATGAAAAAATAAGTTTAGTAAATTTGAGATGATATTTAATTCAAGTAAACATATACCAAATATTTATTTATTAATTTTTTTAAAAAATATTATTCCCATGCAACGCACGTGGTGCATTGCTAGTATATATATATATACCCTGATGATGCTCAAAATCGATTTGCACATCACCTGTCAATTAAGCAATATAAAAGATAGTAAAGTAGAGGGAGAGATGAGACAATGTTTATAATGGTTTGGCCAATGAGATTTACGTCCACTTTCAATGGCTAGGTTCGCAAGAAATTTTTTTGACTTTGGTGCGTTGGGAGAGCAAGAAATACAAGAGAGATAGGAGATGAGCTTGATTTTTATGAGATGCCACCCAAGTTTTGGGGGAACTTACAATTTATAGTCACCTGCGTAGTAATTGAATAACTAATTTGACGGTCATAATTGGAGCTGTTTAACAGTAATTAAATCTCTTGACGATTTCTCCTTTCCTCGACCTCTCCTCTCCTCAATCGAAAAGGAGGTTATGGTGCTCTCCAAAAGGGCTTGGTCAAGGATGAGGGAGGTTAATTCTCTCCAAGCTGCAAGGGTGTGGCTTCTGATGCTCCCTTGGTGGTGTAGCTCCTTGATGGGCTTGACTGGGCCTAGGCCTCGTTCGAACTGGACTTGTCAGATCTCTTAGGATTAGTTTAGACCAGGCTTACAATATGGGTTGGGCTCTTGGGCTTGACCCATAATTTGCCCCCCAATGCCCTGCATTTAAGGAACTTGGAAAGGAGGGCATTCAGTTGAGTTTGAATTTTTGATCGAACGGCAAAATTGGAAAAACTTTAGGAGGTCAAAACTCATACTTGCAGGCCTTTTTTGGGCTTCTTTCAGCATCATTCATGGACAAAGGTGGTTACTATTGTAGAGCTCTTCGAAAGCTTCGATTTAACATATTATGGGTCCCGTTTAGAGTTACGAATCAAAAATTACAGTCAAAATAGTGTACACACCTCTTTAAATCCGAATTTTTTGAAAACTTTTCTTGATTAGCAACCCCATCACTTCTAGTAGACTCCTTTTGCTTGTAAGACCCCATTGACTATATAAACTCTTTTATTCCCTTCCTTTTTTGGATTCTTGAGAAACCCTATGGTGCAATTTGGGGCTTTTTGGGTTTTTTGACTCTCCAATTTGACTTTAAAACCCTAGCCATAAATAGAGAACCCCCTTTTCATCCTTACTATTTCATTCATTCTTAAGAGAGACCCCTCCTTATTGAGGCTACCAAGAATAAAAGGAGGGTTTGAAGATTTGTGATTCCATCTTAGAGTTCAGAGAAAATGTTAGGGGGGATCTTTCGTGATGCTTTGGCCGGTGTTTCTGGGAAACTCAGGTGGACTGCATCAGAACAGGGGGAGAAATCGGCGTTGAGAAAGTTGCTCAGAGAGGTGCCGAAGTTGAGATGGAGTCCGAAGGCATGGGTGCCCAGGTGGAGGAGGCTCTAGGCGAAGCTAGATCCGAGGGGCAGACGGCCCCAACCATGGTTGCCATTGTGGAGGCGACGCCAAGCGAGGCACTGCTGGTCTCATCGCTGGGCGCGTCGATGGGTGAGATGCTTGGTGAGGCGCCATCTTGCTGGAGGAGAATAAAGAGCGAGCATGGAGGAGAGCATGGATTGGGCGAGTAGCTTGGGGCATGTGACAGCCTAGGTGTGCTACTTGGGCGAGAGCAAGGGGCAGTGGGGTGAGCAAATCATGTGGCAAGCAAGCAGGAAAGGGTGATGGGCGCCTCTTTGGGTGCTGGTTTTTGTAGCTTGGGCGAGCACAATGTCCTCATGATGGGGCAAAGGAGCGGGCAGAAGAAGGTTCTGGCATCTGTTGTATTGGGCAACCCATTAGACGAAGGAGAAGAGAGGGAAGAGGAGACTTTGGGTGTCGCTTCCACGCGCAGGACAGCTGGGCGTGCAACTCAAGCATTAGGTGAGCATAGGGATGTTTTGGGTGAGCAAGGAGCTGTCCTGGGTGAGCCTAGGGCTGCCTTGGGCGCCCTGACTTCTCAAGGCCTCCCTCGGAGTGGCACCGACCATACTTTGCGTCCTCGCAAGAAAAAACACCAAAGCAAGTAGTTGATGATGGGTTCAAGGTAAATACCTTCTCTAGCACTTTAGATACGGACGTCGATATTTTGCAAATTGTCTCCGCCTACCATATCCATCCGACTGTGCTGTGTCGTCGAGCCGAGATGGGTGAGCCTGCCTCTGATGACTCCTCTGGTGACATTGTCATCTATGAGGAAATGTTGGAGGCTGGGCTTAGATTCCCTATATCTCATTCTATTTGCAGTATTCTTTATTACTTTTTGCTCACCCTGGGGCGATTGTCACCCAATGGTTGGAGAGTCCTATTGGGTTTTCTTGTATTGGGGAGGAATGTGCACCATGAGGATGCCTCTCTTGAGGAGTTTCATGGAGCTTATACTTTGAGCGAGATCTCCGCTCCCAATCGGGGTTGGTATTACTTTACCACGAGAGACAAGTTGATTACCGGTCTACGGTCCAACTGTCAAAGTTGGAAATCTCGCTTTATGTTTGTCGGCAGAGAGTGGGCTGTAGAGGCCGATCGGGCTTTAGTACCGAGAGGATGGGGTGTCCCTAAGAAAATCGGTATGTCACATACTTGCTTTCTCTCTTTTGCTCTTTTTTTTTGTTTTACTCATCATTCCTCTTGTAGATCCGTCTGTGCTCTCCAAAGACCAAGAGTGGAAATTGCAGGTCATGAGGGCTCATCCTAACAAGGACTTGAGAGTCCTTATGCCCAAGAATGCTAGGACTATTACTCTCTCCTCAAAGTCTGGTAGCTCTTCTTCGAAGAGGAAAGGTAAGTTGATTTTTTTTTCTTGGTGTTTTTCATGTGGATAATACTTTATTTTCTTTAGAGCAGTAGATAGGGAGATGATTGAGTCCCACCTTTCTAGTACGAGTCCTCCTCCTTCCAAGGTGGCGAGAACTTCCAAAGTGACGACGGGCCAAGTCTCCTCTCCAATGGTGCTGCTCGTGGTGAGCTCTCCTCAGTCAACCCTTCCATTGGCACCTCCTCGAATGCCCTCCTATCAAATGATCAATCCAGAGGTGCCTCCTTGGTCAGAGGCTCCCACAACTGCACCTACTATCCCAGAATCTCGTCTGGAGTCTCGTTTGTTGGCCACACGTTCTGCCCCCCATTCATCCACTTCTCTTGTGGGGACTTCTTCTAGGGCACCTTCTTAGATCAACTCCATGCTGGGTAACGCGTAGGTCATCAAGGATCGGCTTGGGAGGTTTTTGTTCACCAACGATGTGAATGGGATTAGTGCCTTGGGCACCGAGGGGATCCTCAACTCTTTCCTAGAAGGTTGGGCTCAAGTAAGGGTTTGTTCTCTCCCCTCTCTCCATTCCTTCCATAAATTTATGACATTCTTTTGCCTTCTGTTTCTCTTCAGGGCTTCACTGCAGCTATGTGTTTAATTTCAAGGACCCTCCTTTATCACAAGCTGAAACATGATCATGAAGTGGTGCAAAATGAGTTTCTTACTACTCAAAGGAGGATCATTGAGCTTGAAGCTACTGGCAGAGCTTCTGATGCTGACCTTGTGGCAACCCGTGAGAGGGCGATTGGTCTTGAGATTGAGCTATCGACGACTCATGGGAGGGTGTTCGGGCTTGAGGATGAGCATGTTAGGGTCCGTAAGAGGGCCACACTCAATGAGACTGAGCTTTCAGCGACCCATGGGGGTGGCCAAGCTCGAGGCTGAGCTTGCGGAGGTCTATGAGAGGGCCATACTCAGTGAGGTTGAGCTTTAGACGACCCATGGGAGGGCAGTTAAGCTTAAGGCTGAGCTTACGGAGGTTCGTGAGAGGGCCATGCTCAGAGAGGTTGCAACAGAGACAGAGGTGAAGACAGCTCATGAGAGAGTTGTGATAGTTGAGAGGGACTTGGAGTGTGGCCTTGCAGATGCCTTCATTGATGGTTATGAGAAGCTTCGGGGAAAGATTTCTATTGCTTTTTTCGATATTGATGTCTCAGGCTTCTTGCCAAACGAGGCACCTGATGATAGTGATGGAGGTTCTGACCATCCCGTGGGTGACGATGAGAAGGAGGATGATGACCATGAGTATTTAGCATGCTAGAGATTTTTTTGTTTTTGTTTTTTTTTTTTTTTGAAAAAACATTTTGTAGCCATACTTTTGTAAAAGTGGTTTTTGCCACTGATGCTACTTTGAAGTTGATAAGTTGAATATGAAAATGCAAAGATCGTTTTGAAGTAAATCTCTAAAATTTTATTCATTTTTCTGCTCATATAAAGCAATATCAGGTAATAGCCCCACAAAAGAGTACAAAAAATAAAACTAAGTCCCCAACTTTTCTACTATCTCAAGGTGTCAGTGGTAGTACCTCTTCAAGTGCTCCGCGTTCCATGGATGGAGTAAGACCTTCCCCTCAGAATTCTGGATCTTGTAAGTGCCTGACCTCACCACTTCTGTTATGAGGTATGGTCTTTCCCAATTTGGTCTCAGCTTTTCTTCGCATAAATCCTTTGTGGGGAATATCATTTTCTTGAGGACCCAGTCTCCTGATTGGAAGGAACAAGACTTTACCCTCGAGTTGTAGTATTTAATCATGCGGCGCTTGTACTGCCGCATTGCAGACCACGACCATCTATCTTGCCTCCTCTACCAAGTCGAGGTTGATGTGGAGTCCTTCCTCGTTGATGACGAGGTCGTGGTGTTGGACCCTTAAAGAGTGCACCTCGATTTTCACAGGGATGACTGCCTTAGTTCCAAAAGCAAGGGAGAATGAAGTTTCTCTAGTTGGAGCTCTTGGTGTAATGCGGTAGGCTCATAAAACACGTGGGAGCTCGTCAACCCAAAGACCCTTCGCCTTGTCAAGCCTTGTCTTTAGGTTGCGTAACTCTATTCTCACCATAACTTGTGCTTGTCCGTTTGCTTGCGGGTGCGCCGATCTTGAATGAGGCTGCTTTATTTGAAGGTTAGAGCATAATGAGTTTACGAGTTTGTTGTCAAACTGCTTGGCATTGTCACTTACAATGGCACGGGGTATCTCGAAGCGGCAGACCAGGTTCCTCCAGATAAAATCTTTGACCTGTGCATCTATTATCTTTGCCAAGGGTTCGGCCTCCGCCCATTTAGTGAAGTAGTCCACTGCTACCATCACGAACTTGCACTGTTCTCTGCTGAGAGGTAGGGGCTAGGATGTCGATGCCCCATTTGGAGAAAGACCATGGACTTGTGATGACTGTGAGTTCCTCTGGTGGCTGCCTGGGCATAGTGGCGAAATGATGATACTTGTCGCACTTTTTAGCGAATTCCTGGGTGTCCCTTATCATTCTAGGCCAGAAGTACCCTTATCTGAGTGCCTTTGTGGGCGAGGGAGTGCCCTCCAAAGTGATTTTCACAAACTCCTTCATGGATCTCCCATATGGCATAGTCAGCTTCTTCAGGGGAGAGGCATCTTAGTAATGGCAAGGAGTAGCCTTTCTTGTACAGGGTGTTTTGTATGATAGTAAACTTGGAGGCTTTCATCCTGAGCTTCCTGGCTTCTAAAGGGTCCTCTGGCAACGCAGCTTCTTGGAGGTATGCCCATATCGGGGTCATCCAGTTCGACTCAGCCAATGCACAGTTGACATTTATGGCTTTCGTGTCTAACTTGCTTGGTTCGAACTGGTGACCAATGAATGTTGGTCCTCCTAGTTCCAAAGATGAGGCGAGCCTGGTGTGTGCATCAGTGGCCCTGTTGTCTTGTCTCTGGATGTGACAGATCTGGAAGTCTTAGAACTTTGCGATCAAGCCCTTCACCATGCCAAGGTATTCCTGCATTCTAGCTCTTTTTGCTACGAATTCGCTCTTTACTTGATTAACAATCAGTTGAGAATCACTGTAAGTGGCGAGGTGTTGGGCTTCCATTTCAACTGCTAATCTTAATCCAGAGAGAAGGGCTTTCGTACTTTGCCTTATTGTTGGAAACAGTAAAGTGGAGCTTCATTGCATACTTGAGGGGAGTGCTGTCGGGGCTGATCAAGATCAGGCCTGCTCCTCCTCCTTTGCTGGTCAATGAGCCATCTACATAGAGCTTCCAAAGTGGTAGAGAGGAAGGGTCGGAGATTAAAGTAGGAGCCTGGACGCCAGGCTGGGTGCCTGGGAGTGAAGAGGGAGGCTGGCTGCCTGAAGAGGTGATCTGGGCACCTGGAGTGGAGGTCTGAGCGCCTAGAGAGGAGACATGGGTGCTTGGAGAGGAGACTTGGGTGCCAGGAGTGGCTTGGGCGCCAAGTCTGGGCCCCTGGGCTCCTGTGCTGTCTTGGGCGCTTGGTCTGGATACCTCATTATTCTCAAGCGTCCGGGTGTCCTCCTCCTCTACTAGTGTAAGCTCAGCAATAAAAGCTGTCAATGCTTGTGCTTTGATGATTGTCCTTGGCTGGTATTGAATGTCAAACTCCCCTAGTTCCACTGCCTACTTGAGGAGTCTTCCGAATACATCCGATTTTTCCAAGATTCTTTTTAGAGGTTGATTTGTGACCACAACCACGGTGTGACTCTGAAAATAATGTCGTATACGCCTTACTATTGAGATGAGGGCAAGCGCTAGTTTCTCCAGTCCTGAATATCTGATTTTTGCTCCCCGGTATGCTCTGCTCACATAATAAATGGACCTTTGCACTCTTTCATTGTTCTTGACAAGGACAGAGCTTACTGCCGAGGGAGAAGCATAAAGGTATAGGTATAATATTTCTCCTGATGCGGCATGTGACAAGAGATAAGGCTTAGCTAAAAAGGTTTTGAGCCTTTGAAAGACATCCTCTGCCTCAGGTCCCCACTCGAAAGCTTTTCGAAGAATCTTGAAGAAAGGCAAGCATTTGTCTGCCGACTTGAAAACAAACCTGTTGAGTGCTGCAATTCTCCCATTGAGGCGTTGGACCTCCTTGGTCGAGGAAGGCGACTTAATGTCTATGATGGCCTAGATCTTGTCAGGGTTTGCCTCAATTCCCCTCTAGTTAACCATAAAACCAAGGAATTTTTCTGACCCAATGCCAAAGGCGCACTTCTCTGGATTTAGCTTCATGCGGTATACCCTGAGAACATTGAAAGTTTCTTGGAGGTGGTCGATGTGGTCTATTGCTGTGAGACTTTTTACCAACATGTCGTCCACATACACCTCCATCGTTTTCCCAATCTATAACTGGAACATCTTGTTCACCAGTCGTTGATAAGTTGCTCCTGTGTTCTTCAATCTAAAGGGCTTGACCTTGTAGCAATAGATCCCTTTGGAGTGATGAATGATGTCTTTTCCTGGTCTGGGGGGTACATGCTGATCTGGTTATACCCAAAATATGCATCCAAGAAGGTAAGCAATTCATGTCCTACAGTGGCGTCAATGAGGAGGTCAATTCGTGGTAGTGGGTAGCTATCTTTCAGGCATGCCTTGTTGAGCTTAGTAAAGGCGACGTAGAGGCGCCACTTCCTATTAGCTTTAGTCACCATCACCACATTTGAGAGCCACTCAGGATAGGCTACTTCTTTGACTGCTCTATTCTCTATCAACTTTTTCACCTTTTTTTCCATCGCTTGGGCCCTTTCCGTGGAGGCACCCCTTAGCTTTTGGCGAACAAGTTTGTGGTAAGAGTCGACATTGAGGCGGTGGGTGGCGACCTCAGGATCAATACCTTCAAGATCCGTATGTAACCATGCAAAAATGTCCATGTTAAGCCTCAGAAAGTCTATTAGCTGGCGTATCAAATCTTTAGAAAGGGAAGAGCCAATGTACACTCTTCTGTCCGGGTTCTCCTTATCTAAAACTACTGGGGTGAGCTCCTCGACTAGTTCTCCTCTTTCCATGGTGGCGTCGTCCCTTGGATCAAGGACCTCCACTTGTAGGGCTTCTTGTGGCTTCCTCGTCCTCATGGAGGAGACATAACACTCTCTTGCAGCTACTTGCTCTCCTCACACCTCTACAACTCCATTTGAAGTTGAAAAACGGAGGATCAGATGGTAGGTGGAGGGCACAACTCTTAGGGTATTGAGAGCTAGTTGCCCTAGAATGATGTTGTAAGCTAAAGGACAATCTATCACCAAGAAGTTGACCATGGTCGTGGAGCTTCGAGGTGCCGCTTCGGCAATGACAGGTAAGGTGATGGACCCTAAGGGATACACCTTATCTCCTAAGAACCCAATAAGGGGCGATTTAATGGGCTGTAATATTTCTCTGCCCAAGCTGAGCTTGTTATAAGCCACCGCAAACAAGATATCCGCAGAGCTTCTGTTGTCTACGAGAGAATCCTTCACACTTGGAAGTTGGCGACGGTCATGGTGAGCACCAGAAGGTCGTCAGAGGGGTGTTGGATTCCTTCCAAATCTTGGTCTAAGAAGGATATGACCTTACTATTGCCATACTATGGTGCCTTGAATGGGCGCAATTCCTCGGGGTGCTTAGCTTTTCTGGCATGAGCCTTCATAGCGAAGAGGGATTCTCCTCCCCCTGCAAGCCCTCCGGAGATGGTGTGAATTTTTTTGATAAGTTGTTGGTCTTCCTGATTACGGGGTGGTGTTGGCGCCAGTCCCCTACCGACAACATACTGGCGTAGGTGACCCCGTTGGATGAGCTCCTCAATCTGCCTTTTGAGGTCATAGCAATCATCGGTATCATGGTCATGGTCGCGATGGAAGTGACAATACTTGTTTGGGTTCTTTCGGTTTAGGGGAGATTTCATTCTCCCTGGCCACTTTATTGCGGGGTCATCCTGGATCTGTAATAGAATGTGCCCGATGGCAGCGTTGAAGGGAGTGAAGACTTGTAGATCTCTCTGGGGAGTAGGATCGAGCTGGTCTTTGGTAGGTACTCTATCTATCCTGCTACGCTTGTTATTATTCTCCTTCTTATCATCTCTGTCTTTTTCTTTTCTCTTCTCTCAAACTCTAGAGGACTCCCCTCGTCTGGCCCTTGTAATGTCCTCAGCATTCATGTGTTTCTGGGCCTTCACCAATAACTCTGGCATGCTCCTCAGTGGACACTTCATTACAGAGAAAAGAAAGCTTAACGACCGGAGGCCCCCTAGGAAGGCGGTCATGCTCACCTTATCATCGGGCTCCTCGACCTGAAGGACCTCCTCGTTAAAACGAGTGAGGTAGCTCCTCCGGCTCTCATCTCGGTCTTGCTTTATGCTGAGTAGGTGGGTGGCAGGCTTCTGGTGGCAGCGTCCTCCAATGAAGTGTGACATGAAAGACCTACTCAGCTCAACAAATGTGCTAATGGAGGCTGAGGAGAGTTTGACGAACCATTGCCGAGCTAATCCCTTCAAGGTGGTTGGGAATACTCTGCACATGATTTCGTTGGGGACATTGTGCAGTTGCATTAAGGTTTTAAAAGTTTCAAGGTGGTCTAGCGGATCCTTCGTACTGTCAAAGGTCTCAACGAATGATATCTTGAATTTTTGGGGGAGTGGGTAGTTCACTACGTTAGGTTTGAAAGGTGTGTCAGTTTGACTTACGAGGTATTCTATTGTCTCGGGGCCCTGTGCCTTCATGACGTTGAAGATATGTCATCCAGTTGATTTTGCACCTCCTTAATTTTTTGGTTCCATTGATTGGGAGGAGGACCTCTGGAATTACCACAGAAATGGCTCTCATGCTCTATGCTTTGGTTTTCACCCTCGTCCTCTTGGAGAGGAAGGTCTCCACCATGGGGAGCCGAAACAGGGGCTAGAGGAGGAGGTCCCTCATGGTGGGCCCACCTGAGTGGGGCGCCCAAGGGAACTCCCAAAGGGGGGGGGGGCGCCCAAGTGGACGTCTGGATGGGGAGCACCAAGGTGAGGAGCTCTTTGATGACCAGGGAGTGGAGGTCCCCTGGCTTGAGGTCAAAGGTGCGTTCCTCCCTGTTGCCCGAGCATCAATTGCAGAATCTGTTGGTTTTGGGCTATGAGCTACTGCATTGTGACCAACATCTGTTGTGCATCTGGGAAGGGATTGACAGGTGGAGGAGCAACCTCCTCCTCTCATAGGTTGTCTTCATGTTGACTCATGGTTCTTGTGGTAATTGACTTTGATTGAGCAAAGAAAATGGTTAGGTGAGAATTCTGTCTTTCCCATAGACAGCGCCAAATTGATGATGCACCAAATCAATTTGCACACCACCTTTCAATTAAGCAATATAAACGGCAGTAAATGTTTATAGTGGTTCGGCCAATGAGACCTATGTCCATGTTCAATGGCTAGGTTCGCCAGGAATTTTATTGACTCCGGTGCATTGGGAGAGCAAGAATTACAAGAGAGAGAGAGGAGATGAGCTTGATTTTTATGAGATGCCCTCCAAGTGTTGGGGGATCTTACAATTTATAGTCAATTGAGTAGTAATTGAATAACTAGTCTGACGGTCATAATTGGAGCTGTTTAATAGTAATTAAATCTCTTAGCGACTTCTCCTTTCCTCGACCTTTCCTCTCCTCAACCGGTAAGGAGGTTATGGTGCTCTCCAAAAGGACTTGGTCAAGGATGAGGGAGGTTGATTCTCTCCCAGCTGCGAGGGTGTGGCTTCTAATGCTCCCTTGGTGGTGTAGCTCCTTGATGGGCTTGATTGGGGCATCGTTCGGACTGGACTTGTCAGATCTCTTGGGATTAATTTAGACCGGACTAATAATATGGGTTGGGCCCTGGGCCTGGCCCATCATACCCCATAACTAAAGTCACTATACTCCGAATTATGATATTGTTCCTGCATTGGAGTGAGTGTATTTATGTGCAGTTGTGTGTTATAGAGTATGTATTAAGTTTAAAATTTTTTGGAGGAAGTGTGTGCTTACCCCCCATAAGTTCAAAAACTTATCTGATTTGTTATATAGATATAGGTAGCTATAGACACACACATAAGTAAACTTGGCCCTTTGTATGCATATATTTTTGGTTAAATGGTGGTAATTATTCATTAATAATTGTTGTTTTTTTGTGTGATTGTAAGATTGATTCACTAATGGAGGCATCGAAGTCAATCGATACTCTAGAGGCCTTAATTGATCATGATATTGAACAGAACTGCGGAAAAATCTCAAATAGTAATTCGAGAGACCTTATGAGAGTGAAGCGTTCAATAGACATGCTCAAGGTAACATTTGAGCAAATTCTGATCCAGAGGTAATTTATAAAAATTTCATTTTAAATATCTTTACTTTGTGAATTCATGGCAATAATAGGTGGGGTGGAGCTAGAAATTTATTTTAGAGTAGGTCATTTTAACTACAACATTTTATTTTATTTTAAAGTCAAATGGTATATTTATATATATTGAGGGTAGGTCAGTGACCCCGTATCCCCTACGTCAATCCGCCCATGATATAATAGGTTCAAATCATTTGGTTTTAGGAACGCTGTGTTCTTATGAGTCATGACCGATTTAATATACACATATATATATATATATATAATAAAGTAGCTTATAATTTAAATCTCAAAAGATAAATAAAATAACTTTTACTATTCGCAGTTGAGATCGTTTTAAATTTTATTTTAAAGTTAATGTAACGGCTAATATTAATACCTTAAATTTAATACGAAAAATAGTAGGTCTAAAGGTGTGTTTGGAATGACTTTTTAAAAGTAATTTTAGAAATTATTTCTCATAAATACTTTAAAAAAAAAATAGTGTTTGAACCATTACCTCTACCACCATCGCCACTACCGCCGCCGTCGCCCCCACCGCCACCACCATCACCCCCCACCGCCGCCACCACCATCACCCCCGTCACCTCCACCACTACCGCCCACCACCTCTCACCTCCAATTATAATTGGTGCTTAAATTCCTTTCTTTCTCCTCTATCTTTGTAATTTGATTTTGGATGTAAGTTTAAATATATTTATTGTTTATTTTTTTTTATTACTATGTGCCTTTAGGCACAGGTAATAACTAGTATATATATATTTGACATGAAAAACCTCTGCCATGGAAAGTTGTTTTCATCAATGTGAACAAAACCGAAATGTCAAGAGGATACAAATGGATGGACCTCAAAATTCAGCTAAGGCTGCCATTACATATGCTACTAACATGTTATGAGGTTTCCTTTTTGAGTTTTCAACTTTTTTGGCATTTCAAGTATAACGTTTGTGTCAATCAAACTTTTAAACTATGTTTTATATCAATTTAGCCCCTTAAACTGTGTAATCTGATTCAATGTGATTCTTCCATCAAAATTCGCCGTTAATTTGACATAAATATTTAGGTGCACCTCACATGAATTAGAGATTATGTTACAGTTCAGGGGTCACATGATGTGCACGTGAGAGTTTTTGTCAAAATTAAAGGCGAATTTAGACAAAGGAGCCACATTGAGATAGATTGTATAGTTCATAGGTTAAATTGACACAAAATATAGTTCATGAGCTTGATTGACACAAATGGTATAGTTCAAGGGGCTAAATAGGTAATCAACTCTTTTCCTAAATAACCTTCTTTTAGTTTATACATTTTATATTACATTATAAGATTTTGCCCTTTAGCTCCGAAATAAGTAATTGTTGCTAATGAATAAGTAAGTGACTTTCACAATCAGTAAGTCGAGCTACTACCGATGGGTGCTTACATAATTCTTGAGACAGAACAGATAGGCCCATTTCTTGGGGTTGCATGTTTCTCATCCATAAACTGTTTGCTGGTTTTCCATTTATCAGGGAACTTTATTCTTCCTTCCAGATATGCTGATGTTCGAATAATCTAAGAAGTTTTAAAGAATACCTGGGTTTCATTTGCAGGGGAAATTCCATAATTGGTCCATTTTCCATGGCATATGAGCAGGTTTTTGCTCCATACCATGGCTGGACTCTTAAGACTGCTTTCTCTACTGCATTATATACCCTTCCTTCACTGGCACAATTCTTGAAGAAAGTAAATGAAAGCGGTGAGTGGCTACTATAACATAACCTGCTGCCACGGTCGCATGAATACATGAGCAATATTTTGTACACTTTCAAGTAACAAAGGTTAAATTAGCTTACATCAAACTACTTGTCACGTGTATTGATGTTTGAAAGATGAGCTTGATTGCGGTACTATTTTTCAAAATTCATTTCTTTCTTTTTTTTTTTTCGTCAGAGGCCTCAGCAATGGTTCAGATGCAAAACTATGTAACGGCATCGGCTCCTGTCATACAATATATTGAGAACTTATTTCACTCAGGGGAATCAGGTGACGTGCTGCTAGGATTGGCATAATCAGCTATTACCCTCCTTTAAGTTCGTAATATGACGTGATGTTGGAGAACTTTAACTCAGGGTAATGCATATAATAACCTCATGATGTGCAAGGTTAAACTGTTCTTATCATGTTTCCCTTTAATTTGTAGAACTTGACCATACAATGAATCACTTAAACTTATGGTAAGGCTTCTGTTAGATCATTTGCACCTGATATGGATCAAATCATGTTAGTGTCTGCCTCTTATCAACTATAATGTTGCATGTCTACTCGGATAACTTGCATCTAATGACTCATCGTAGTCACGGTTGCTCTGTTTTGTCCATCATGTCATGTTTTCTTCAAAGATATAACTGGGGGTGTCCATGGGCTGAGCCTGCGAAATTTTTTTCGGGCCGGGCCTGGGTAGTATAGAACCAAACCTTTACTCAAAGTGAGTTATCGGCCGGGCCGGGCCGGGCTTTGGATAGGGGTAGGCCACCCGCAGCTCAACCCGTGAGTCTATTGGGCGGGCCTATGGCCGGACTTGTTTGCGGGCTTTTTAATATACATCTTTATTTAAAAATAATGAATATTTTTTTAACTTAATATTTGTGTAAATTATATTTTTGAATCAAAAGTAAAGTCAAAATGGATAAAATAAAATAATGAACTACATTTAATAGAATGAATAAATCTCAACTAGGTTGACACCTATTAACTTATCAGTCATTTGTATTACTCTACCATTTAAAACTTATTTGCTTAATACATAGAAAAGAAAATAATATATTATTTATAATATCTAAATTTTTAAAACTTCAAATTTCAATATTGAAAGACTTATTTCAAAGTTTCAAATTTAATGGTCAAAAAGTATAAATTTTTTTCAAAAGAAGGGTAAGTTGGGTTGGGCTTGTGGGTAGGCTTTCCAGGCCGAGTAATGGGTTTGGGGGCAAACTCAAACCCTCTTTTTAAGGATATTGGATTCGGGCTCAGGTGGACCAACTATCGAGCCTATCAGGCCTCGGGCTTAAAATTTTCAGGCCGGATAACGGGACTCATAGATAACCCGGCCCATGGACACCCCTAGATATAACAAACTACACATCCAACATTTCACTTGGGAGGCTGTTATTTGATCATGTGAGTGGCAGTGTTAGGATGTCTTATTCCAACTGCAATTCAATGCAAATCTTTTGTCATTTCCTTTTTGTCTGTTTTTGTTGGTGAAGAAAGTCAATATAGATTAATGTGTACAAAAATTTTGAAAATTGGTGTGATGTTTTGTGAAATCAAACATAAAGTGAAATTTATGAAAAGAACGATAAGAATGTAATCTAAACAATCACATAATACAGAATTTACGCGGTTTGACAATTTGCTTACGTCTATAAAGCTGCAGGGATTTCACTATTCTCAAGAAAGAATATAGAGGATGCAGTGACTGTACATAATTAATAAACCATAATCACCAAAATAACAGTTTTTAAATGTCCTGCACACTGGGCTACACAACAGGCCCAAAAAATTGGCTCAAGCCTCCGCTCCATGAACAAAACCTCAGAAAATTTTTCATTAAAAACACGCAACATTATTTCGAATCGGGTCATCATTCGGATCAACACACAACTAGATTCCACAAAAAAAATTCAACAAATCTCCCACTTGGAGACTAGTTCAATCACCAACATCAACGACAATCCTCCAACAACAGTCCCTCATCCGTGCAACTCATCCTCCTGTCCTCAAGCTAGAAGGCTAACTGAAGCTGCACACAACTTCAACTTCTCAATAGTGACACCCTTAGTCAACATGTCTTCCGGGTTTTTAGTTCCACAGATCTTCTCAAGTATTAGTTGACCATCATCAAGTAAGGACCGTATGAAATGAAATCTAATATGAATGTGCTTCGTCCTAGAATGAAATGGCGGATTCTTGGCGAGGAATATGACACTCTGACTATCACTGTAAAGAGTACCATTCTGTTTCTTTTTATCCAGTTCCTCCAAGAAAATCTGTAATCAAATCATCTCCTTTGAAGCCTTTGACATTGCAACATACTTGGCATTTGTAGTAGAAATATAGTAGAAATATATATTGTCTTCTATAGGTTGGAACCCCAAGACACGGCAGTACCACCCAAGTTGTAAACAAAATCGATGGTGTTCTTCCTACTATCAGTGTCTTCGGCCAAGTCGGCATCAACAAAACCCTGTAACTCCAAATTATCTTCGGTGAAACATAAACATGCTTCTAAGTAACCTTTCAGACTCCAAACTATCTTCGATGAAACATAAACATGCTTCTAAGTAACCTTTCAGATACCTCAGAATCCACTTCACAGCCTCCCAATGTTGTCTTCCTGGGTTGCTCATGTATCTACTCACAACTCCCACTGCATGGACAATGTTGGGTCTTGTGCAAACCATAGCATACATGAGTGAATCAATAGCTGAAGCATAAGGAACTTTATTCATGTAGTCATGTTCGTCCTCTGTCTTGGGTGATTGATCTTTGTTGAATCTGAAATGACTACCCAAGGGTGTGCTAATTGGTTTGGCTTGGTCCATGTTAATTCTACTGAGTACCTTTTTCACATACTTAGCCTGCGATAGTTTCAACGTGCCATTCACTCTGTCTCTGGTGATTCTCATACCAAGGATTTGTTTTGCAGCTCTCAAATCATTCATTGCAAACTGTTTTGACAACTGTTTCTTCAGATTGTTAATCTCTTCAATGCTGGACCCTGCAATGCGCATATCATCCCCGTACAACAATAAGATGATGTAAGAGTTGTCAAATTTCCTGACATAGCAACAATGATATCCCTGACACCTGATGTACCATGAACTGCACATAAAGCTGTCAAATTTCTTGCACCACTGTCTAGGAACTTGTTTCAGACCATACAAGCTCTTCATTAATTTGCAAACCAAATTCTCTTTGCCTTGCACTGTGAACCCTTTAGGCTGGTGCATGTAGATGTCTTCTTTAAGATCCCCGTGATGAAACACAGTTTTCACATCTAATTGCTCAAGATGCAAATCTTCAGTAGCAACCATTGCCAGCACTAGCCTGATGGTTGTGATCTTCACTACATGAGAGAAAATATCAGAGTAATTAATGCCCTTCTTTTATTGAAAGCCTTTTACAACTAACCTTGCCTTGTATCTCTTACTGCCATCATGCTCAGTCTTTACACGGTATACCCACTTGTTGTGTAGATCTTTCTTCCCAGATGGAAGTTCTGTTAATTCCCATGTCTGATTTCCTAGCAGGGAATCCATCTCCTCTTTCATGGCTAACTCCCACTTGCTCGAATTCTCATCTTGCAAAGTTTCTTCGTAACTCTGTGGTTATCCACCATTTGTCAACAGAATGTAACTCAATATAGGTGAGAATCGCTGTGGGGTTCGGATAGTCCTGGAAGACTTCTGAGTCGCTGCTGCAGGTGTAGATGGTTCAGGATCTGATTGTGGAATAATGGGAATGGGCGCACTAGACCCACTCTCACCATCACTGTCGTCCCTGCACCGCATTGTGACTTCTGGTAGGTTGACAAACTTAGGCTATTGAGAAGTTGTATCAGCAACTGTACTGGAATTGTCCTTGTAAATCATTTTCTCATTGAGGACCACGTTTCTACTCCTGATGATTTTTCAACTCTATTCATCCTAGAATCGATAACCAAATGAGCTTTTCCCCAAACCCAACCCCCTTAAATCTTTATTCCTCAACACAGTTAGTTAACCCAGTCTTTTTTTAAAAATATCATTTGGAATAACACCTTCATTGGTTAAATTGAATTTTTTTTATTAAAAACGTAATTCAAAATTATGTTTTTTAAAATAAATTTCAAACGACAACTAACCGATGTTCAAAAAAATAGTGAATAGAAAACGTCATTTTCAATGACGTTTTCTACAACTTATTAAAAAAAAATGGTGCAATGACGTTTTCTGCTACTTACAGACCCCAAATTTCTCAAATCACAAAAGCCTCCAACGATTTATCCATCCTCTCCGCTCCACGCCTCCGACGAAGACCACTCCTATGCAGGCTCTCCTCTTCGCTTCCATCTATATATACATCCCATTCACTCGTCGTTTTCTTCAAGGTTTTAATTACTCTTTTCGATTCTTCCATAGAGGAACAGTTCTTGAAGGGTTTTAAAGGATTCATTCATCGTCAATCAGATAGCTTTATTTTTGAGATTGAGGGAGAAACAGAGAGAAAAATCAATTATGATGATGTCGAAGTTCAGTTCTTCTGATACCTTCTATGTCGAGTCGTTTGGTCAGAAGGTCGGTTTTTCTTCGCGTCGTCAATCCAAGGTATGAAGAAGGTTAAGGAGGGAATTCCTTCTAAACCACCGTCGGATGGTGATAAGTCAAGCAATCAACGGCGACAAAGGACGCCGAGGTTCGTGCTGGAGCTGGATGGCGTGCACTATTTTGAAACCATCGTCCTATACTGAAATGCTGATTTTAATTAATTCCTTGTCTTTGGATCATTCGTTGTAATCTTTTCAAAATTGTTTAATACAATGAAACTAAAATTCTTTATTCTTGGATCAATCGTCTTTCTTGATCGCCGTTTCTTTAAGAAATTTCTAGTTTTTTTCTTCTTCTGTTTAGATTTTCTTACATCTATTTTGAGGGTTTTTTTTGTGTCGCTTCTCAAACTTCTCTCCATCTTCGTTGTTTTTGGTTAAAAGCAGTGGATACAATGGGATGATAGGGATATATATATTCTGCACAGGAAAATTCCTGTGATCGATTGAGATATTTAATTCACGGTCAGTGTTGAATGAATGATCGGCGTTAACTTGGGATTTGATATTATAATGTTTAGCCATCTTAGGGTGCCGAGCACCCAATGCATGTCCCCGGTTGAGCACCCAATGCAAGTTGCTCTAAAGGGTCCTTGGGAGATAAAAGATCAGCACAATACTTACAGTTGGCGCAGTTGAAGTAACGTGGTTGATTTTCATTCTACAAAGCTTGTTTTAATGGAAATAGATAGGGTTATCTAT